CCGATCTTCAGTTCAGCAGCATCAGTGGTGAGTCCTCATTCTTCGAGGACTAGTGACATGTTTATCTAGATTTCTTTTAGTCTTTAGTTTCAGTTTTGCTAGATCTAGTTGGGGCATGTCCCAACATTTCTAGTCAGTTTAGAGGCTTATTTCAGACATAGTTAGATTCAGCTTAGTGTTGAGTTAATATCTTCTTTGTATTAAACTCATCAGTTTTCATATATCTCAGTTATAGTATATGGGTATTCCCCATCTTTTAGATTTATTTGTGATTTAGCTTCCGCACAGTTTCTATTATTCAGATTATATTTAGTATGCTCATGATCATGCCAGCAGGGTTAGCTTGGGATCACTTGTGGTCCTAGGTCCTGTGTCCGCGTCTCGGGGGTAGTTCGGGGCGTGACAATCATAGACAAAATATATGAAGTAGTTCACCTATAATTCAACTCAAAGGGATAAGGTAATTATAATTTGAGGAAATAGTGACAGTGATAGAACTTTGAAAGATGGGCTGGCATGTACAAGTAATAATGAATACTAGAAGTACCTTGTTGTTCTATTCTTTTAAATCAACCAAATTAAAGCAAGCAAGAAAGGATACCTAGGACCCCTCCACACTTCCAGCCCTCATCACCAAAGCAACTTTACCGTAGATGGAAAAAGAATGTGCTACATGTGGTATGTTTACATGTTATGTTACGAGAAAAAAATGAATTTTGATCCTAACTCAATTACGAAAGTCATTTTCTCGGCTCTAAATATTTTGAGTATATATATAGATGGTGTACATACGTGGCTTTCATGATATCATATTAAAAGTTGTGGATGACTTGAAAAGAGACAATAATTGATTGCTTCAACCAATATGGGACAATCTAGCAAACTGAAACTACATAAAATAGTACAAAGAGCCCATGTGATATTGTTGCATCTGCTGTAAGGTGTAGCCTGTAAGCCATAATTACCCACAGCCTAAAATTCTCATATCCTTGTCCAAATCCTTATATTGAGGGGGGTACATCTCCGTTTTTTCTAAATTAAAAATAGAGTAGTGGTATTGGAAATTGAATGTGTTTTGCTAGGGATTAAGAAGGAAAATAACCTTTAAAAATGTATTTTTCAAAGAAAGATGCAATTGTTAAGACTCAACAAGGGGATATAGAATAACCAGGTCTCGGGTTTGTTAGGAAGCATTTTATCCCCAATATGAAATTTTTGAACGTGAATCTAAATTTAGTTGGACTTCAATGGGTACCGAACATTGAATGAAAACAAAAAAAAAGGGAGAGGTAGAACAGTGAGCAAATTTTGAAAAGCAAATCGTTCGTACTTTGAAAAATTAGAAAGTACACAAAGCCCATGCTTCCTTACTTTATCAAACAAACATCGGAATTACAATTCTAGATCAGGAAACTTAACTTAAATCATTTGGTGCAAAGGATAAGTATGATAGTTCTGCAATAAAATGCAAGATTACTTTATTTTGAGTTTGCTTAGGGTAAGTAATTATTTATCTCATATATTTGATAGGATAACTTTGTTTAGTTCATAAGCTTTCTGAAATTGTTTGTTTAGTTGTTGAAAAGGAAATCCTAGTTATGAGAAATTTATTCACTCAGATTTGTGAAAATTGTTAGTAGGTAGTTAATTAATTACCTGGAACTTGAGAATTGAAAAAGTCTTCCCTTTTGTGAGAAAATAATAAGAGCAACTTGAGCATCACAAAGAACTGATAGTTCATAAGCTTTCTTCATAACTCCATTTCTTCGTTTAGAGAAAGTCACTTGCCGGCTTGTTGCATTCTCAATCCTCTTCATCTCTACCTTTCCTCGAACCATTTCCTGCACACAACAACATAGAAAGAATCAAAAAAATTAATCCTATCAAAGAGTATTTACAATCTTGAATCTTTCAGCTCACCTTCAATACTAATGAAATCAATTAAAAATGTTCAAAAAAACCCTAGCAAGTGATGTATTCCGTTGGGAAAGAATGAAATGAAAGCATAAAAAGGTAAGCCAAAAGTAAAAAGGAATAAGTAGTAAAGATCGTCGATGTATTCATCTCTTTATTCTGAGACCAAAGAATACGATATTTCCTAATTCTATCGTATTTGTATTCCGTTTGTTCCTTTTCTATCAACAACAAAAAAGGAAAAGCACAAAAAAAGTAGCATAAGAAAGTCTTGTCCAAGCAAAACCTCATTGTTACCTTGTTTTGGTAATCGATCTTGAAATAGACGTTAATCATACACAAACAATAATACTCACCCATAAATGGGATTATACAACATTTTATAACACTCCATTTAAGTGTACCAAAACTAGAAACAAAAAATTACCCCACCGTACCGGTGGGAAATTTGTGTAGTAAAATATAATTTTTCCATTCACTTCTTATTGAATTAACTTACTGAAAAAATACATGATAAGAAACAAATTTTCACTTTAAAGATGAAAATTTTTGTAATTTTTTCATATGAAACAATTGCTATAATTATTTTCTTTTCACACTGTTTTAATCAAAATATCGAAAATAGACACTCAACTTTTTTATTGGTAAAAACGTGTTTTCTGAGTAGTAGTGTACCATTATTTGATTGGATATATATGGAAACAAATCTTAATTAGAATACATTTTCATGTGTAATTATAAATTATTTCATTTAGAAAAAGTGAAAATTTTGAAACTAAATTATTTATAAATGAAAAAAAAACAAAGTAATGATACAATGTCACTTAAATTTTTTAAATGATACAAATTTTTTAAACATCATATCAAGTTAAATGATACAATGTCACGTAAAATAAAATAGAGTATCAGATAATTTTTAAAAAAATTAATGTAAGTACACAACAACATAAGCTTTTTTTTGTTATTAAAAATATAATTAAATTTTAAAAAATCCAACAGCTTAAAATTCTAAATTAGATGACTGGATATATCTCACTATGTTATTAGAACAAGCTTGAATTTGGATTTGAGTCTCACTAACACTTTACATAAAATAAAAATGCATATACTTAACTCAATCAATTTTTCTACCCTTTCTAACTCTTTAAAAAGGAATGTCAACTACAACTAAAGGGTTAAAGGTATAATCTATATATAAAATAAAGGAAAAACATAGATAAAGTGATGTGATACCTCTCTATGACCTTCATTTATATTTATCGTTTTTCTCTTTTTTGGCATTTTTTCTTATTTAAATTAATTATTATATTGTTAAAGTAAATTACTTAATTTATTACAAATAAAATTTTATTAATCGAGGAACATTTACAACAAAAACTCTTCATATTCTTTTTTTATTTGTTTGCCTCACTTCTATCCATAAAATGACAATATTATTTTATATTTTAAGTATTTTTCTCATTATTATTTAATTTATTCACAAGGAGTTATATGACTTACACCTCTTTAATTTTTACTTTAATAATATTCATAACTCACATAATTTTTATGTCCATAACCTCCAAACTTAAATTTGTAAGTTTATAATGTCTTATTTTATTCATTTATTTTGCCTATAAATTCATATATAGTTTATGAAGATTCGCATTTAAGATTATCATTTCTCTTCATCATATTGATTTGTGAATGAACTAACAAGTAACAAAAAAGAAGTACATGAAGGTAAGAAATATTTCATTTCATTCTCCAGTCTTTATTTTTTAATTTCCTCTATTTTACTTGTATAAATTCATATTTAATTAGTTTCATATCACAGTCAAGATTATCATTTCTCTTCTTCATTATATTTTTTTGTGAATTAACTAACATGTAACAAAAAAGATATATATTTCATTCTTAACTAACTAACATGAAGGTAAGATATATATTTCATTCTCAAGTCTTTCTTTTTATTTTTATTTACTTGGACATGCTTTCTTAATTTTTAATTTATGTATGCATTATCATTCACCAAGCAAGTATGATAAAAAAAAACCTTAATAATGAATAATATGTTGGCAGTATGTAATTGTTCTCTCTAATAGTCACTTTTCGGAATATAATGTATTTTGATTATAATATTTGTTAGATTTCAAGAGATAATTATTATTTAGTATTGTTAGTACTATTGAAAAATCAATATACAGATATATTACATATAGTTTAAATTTCTTCTTTCTTTTGATATAATTAATTCTTAATTGATATATGATATTTTATTAATTCATATATTTTTTTATTCAATTGGTAACATATGATGAAGAGTTTGACATATGGAACCAAATATGGTGGTGGATCTACATGCAAAGGAAGATGGTAGAAGGAGAAAAAAGAAGCATAATTAGAGATTATTTTTGCTAGATTTTTTTTACTTTGACTTGTATTAGTTACTTAGCTTCTTTTACTAAAAAAATTTAAATTTTGATTTATATAAATAATATAGCTACATGTATTGTCAATGCTTATCATTTGGTCCTTTAGTATTTTACTTTTTTTTTACTGTTATTATGAAGTACAATTAATATAATTATCTCATTTCAACAACAAAAAATTATGATGATTAGGAGTTTCATTTTTATTATTCTTGCAAAAAGTAATTGAAAAATAAAATATTAATTTCATGATACCATTTTTTGTGTATGTAACAATCTATTTTCGCCGCTATTCTTTTTTTCCTGAAATGTATTTATAATATTTATGCAATCACCGATTATTATATCTTTTTGTTCATTTTTTGTATTTTCACTCCTTATTTTCATTTATTTATTTTACAAATAAAATCAATGTATAATTATTAATGCATTTAATGTCTAATAAAATTGTACATTTGAATTATTTATATCTCATATCTCTTCATCTTACTTGTAAATTCTAATTTTAAATATTATTCATAACCTTTGTATATTTCATTTTCATAATTCTTATAAATATTCAATTTAATTAGTGTTTAAAAATTATAATAAACAAATGTAATAATAATGACACAATTAAAAAAAATCATTTTTTTTACGAATCAGAATTTGTATAGGAAATTAGTATACTCCTACAAAAGATAGAGGAAATTAAAACATATAAAATATTTTCAATATAATACAATATATTGTTATTTTAAAATATTATATATTATTTCATTTACTTCACCACGGTGAGATATTTTGTGCTACTATATATATATATATATATATATATATGAACAAGTTGCACTTAAAAAGATGCAACAAAAAAAAAAAAAATTATATGTTTAAAAAAATGAAAAAAATGTATCATGTCACAGATGAAGAACAATATCAATATTAATTATTCTATATATTTTATAATAATTTAAATATAAATATTACATATAATTATCTTATAAATATCTCATATGACCGTGCGAAGCGTAAATAATTTCAGCAGTTTAATAATAACACAATAAAAACGAAAAGAACGTTAGTATAATTGTAGTGTAGCCAATTAAAGAGTGTATATAGCGTGGGGTTTAAAAGTGATATATTTGTAGGGTGGGGAAATAACACCATCGTACCATGATTTGACTTTTGACGAATCACAGAGTGACATCTCATCATAATTATTTATTATATAAAATATTTGAGACTTTAGGCCAATAGGAATAAAGTCAGTCACGTGGCTCAAACACCATTTGCCGTGACTATTCAATTTTGATGCTAAGATAGACTACTAGTACTCTTTACTGACTACTGTGCTACGCTCCGTTAAATTTGAGTGGTTTAAAATAAATTAAGATAAGAAATGGGCTGAGATTTAATTTCACCAAAAATACATGTAGATAGGATTGTCAAAAATAATGGTTTAGAGTCAACTTTATTGAGAGGTTTTAATTATTTTTTAATCGATATATACAAACAAATAACAACATATTTAGGGCCTGTTTGGAAAGTTATTCTTGTGATAGAATTTGGTGTAATTACATTATTTGTCTTGTTTGATTGACCATGTAATTATATGGCCAGCATGTAATTGAGTGTAATTGACAGGGGATAATTACACTCTCCAATTTATAGGGAGAATTTGTGATGGTGTAAGTACAAGCGGATTATTTTTTAGGTTTTTTTTGTTATTTATATATTTAATTTTTAATTTTTTTCGTTTTAATGTATTTTTTTATTATTATTTGAAACTATTTTTAAATTTTTATTATCCTAATGTTTTCTAATTTTTTTATTTTTTTATATTATTTATATTTCATTTCCTTCTCATTCTCAACATTTACTTCATGTGATTCCATGAAATTTTTCGTATAATCTAAAAAAAAATATTAGTATAATTTTGTTAGTATTCTAATTTTTAAATTAAACTAGAATTTATTATTGAATAAAGTTGTGGGCTTAAGTGACATAATACATAAACATGATCCTTAACTTGGCATCAGTCGGCAACTATGACCTTTAACTTTGGATGTGCACAAGTAGGCACTTAAACTTGCATAAAATTGAACAAATAGACACGTGTGTTTCCTTATTCAATTTTATACAAGTTTAAGTGTCTACTTGTGCATACTCAAAGTTGGAGGGCATAGTTGTCCGCTGATGCCAAAGGTCATGTTTATGTATTATGCCTAAGTTTTTCTTTTCTTTTAAATCATATTGATGTATGTTATGTTGAAATTTGTCATAAGATTATTATGTTAATTTTTTTGTTTTAAATTAAGAAATAATGTTATATTTTCAATTTTATTTGATTTGGGAGTATTAACTCGATATTTTACATTGCAAGCTATTCTTTTAAGCTAAACTTGATAGATTATCTTTTTGTTAAAGATTTTATAATTTTATGACATTATTTTTATAAGGCTTAACGCATAAGCGAACAGTTAAAGTACGTCTATCAGACACTTCATGGGCATTACCCGAAAAATATAAATTCTGTGACTTTCAAACAGTATAACATGAAGAAAAAAAAAGTGAATCATAATGCGACATGTGGCAAATTAAGAAAAATAACTTTTATTGATTTTTTCCATAATTCTACCATTAACAACATCTTTTCTTCTTCTTTCTCTCTTTTTTATCATTAACAAATATGATCAAAACTTGAAATTACCAAGAAATCAAATAGGTACAACTCCGTATTTAGGTATTTTTAGCAACTTTGTTCATGGGTTTTGCTTAATTATGTACGTACTTTTTTTAATTCAACCATGGGGATTAATGATGCTTCAATTATACCATTTTAATTCTAACTTTTTTT